CAAATTTTGACTGACCCATTTAAAAAGTTTGTAACTTTTGATCAACTTTGAGCTCTCACCAGAGGTAATCTGAGACGAAATTTGATACAAAGCAATTTGCAAGCACTATTTCTGCTACTTTGGTGGATTGTGGTAAGCCAAATTTGGGCTCTATTCCAATGGCTCTCAATGGCCATACTGCAATAAATAAATAAATAAATAAGTGCGAGTCTTACGAATCACGGATCTCTGATATTGTCCACTTTGAGTGTAAGCTCTCGTAGTTTCGCTTTGGACTTCCTCAAAAAACCTCACTCTAATGGAGACCGTACTTTTTTATAAGCTTATAATCATTCCCTAAATTAATCGATGTCGGACTTACTTAGCCACCAGAGAGTGGTAAGAGTGAATAACCCAACATATCCCAAAAATTTCTGCATATCAACCTTCTCCCCTTCTTCCCCTGCATACTTCTTCAAAAGCACTGCATAATCATTTCAAATTCATTAAAAAAATCTAACCTTTTTCCATATTTTTATGTCATTTAAGCCATTTACGATCCAAAACTAACCATAGTAGAGTCCGTCCGTGAAAGCAGAGAGCAGAGCAAATACATCCCCGATGTACGAATGCTTTTCATGCCTAAAAATAAACACAATATCTTCATCGGTACGGTATGATAATGTTCTTACTTATATATCATAAATCTAAATAGACGTACCCGAAAGAGGATTGGGCTTCATCACGAGCCCATGTCTTTCCGACGGTGGTCATGGCGACCCCGGCCATGCTGACAAAGACTGCAACGACATTTACTATGCTTAGAGATTGTCTTTCGAAACATGCGTCGAGTATGAGTGTGAAGAGACCGGACGTTGAGAACAATATGGTGGTGGTTGCTACGCTCGTTTTTGCTAATGCTGCATTTGTAAAATACTGCACCGTTTTTATAATTTTAGGCTCCGTTTCATAACTAATTAAAGTTGATAGAGACTCGAATTACTGACCTCGGAGACGAACCAGATGGGACCAATAGCAAGAGCCAAAACAGCCATTTGCTTTGTACTAAACGATGTTTCTTGTGTTCCATTTTCAGCTTCACACTCACAACGACCGTTATTACTAGCACTCCCCTTTTCTTGTTCTTCACATTCAACGTTCACCACACAATGAACATCGCCATTTTCCACCTCCGATATATTATTATTATTATTATTATTATTATTATTATTATTATTATCTTGTTCTTGAATCTCTGCAACTTCTTTAGGATTTCCATTTGGAAAATGGCTTCTGAATAGCTTCACTATGCATTCTCTGACGAAGGCAATTGCAAGATAAGCCACCAACATGGAGGTTCCGACATATGTCATCACAAACGGATGCTCGTAGTCTGTAAAAATACTCTATCCAACATAAATTTAAAGGTATTGAATTAGGTGGTGATTTAGTGAGATATGAACATAAGAAAAAAGCAATTACGTATCGACTTAATCTTTTAAGTTAGAAGTGAAAGTAGATACCTGTGTGATCTCAGCAGAGGCGACCCATATGACCACGACGGCAACGAGAAGAATTAGCCCTCCTTTATACTTCCAAGCCATGAAAATGGGATAATATTACACAAAAACAAAAACTTTATTGGTATTGTGATGAATAAATGGAATGGTTATAAGCTTTAGAGCTTTGGTCTTAAAATCAAGCTCTTTATATACCTATTTTCATGCATGGTGATGAAGAAATTAAAAAAGTTATCCATTTTGTTCAAAGGGAGGGAAGATTTTGTAAGGTTGTGGTGAAGGTGGAGCTCCCAAAAGTCTAAAATGGAGTGTTATTAAAGAACATATGGAGGTTGCAGTTCATTGGATTCAGCTAAGTTTTTTTTTACTTTGTCATGTCTCTCTCTGTTTCTCTGTGGCTGGTCGTGTTTGAAGCCAATATGTTCTTTTTCTCTATTCTTACGTATTTCTATTTCCTATCAACTTTCTTTATCAAACTCTTGACTAAACTATTTCCTCGCCGTAGAATAACACGTCGCTCAACTGTAATTGATTGTGATGACTATACAAAAATGAATCTAGATCACATTTAGAATGAATTTTAAAGATATAAAATTACCATCAATGAAACCTTAAAAGAATTCATAGTTATTACCGTAGTTCAATCATAGAAATTTCATAATTAAACATGTTTATCTTGGAACAATTTTTTGTTATGTGATGTTTTAATTTTTTTTTTATAAAGTATGTGAGTAAGAACAAATTTAAATTGATAATTTTAATCCAAATATTAGATATAATAAGTTAAAAAATACCGAACAATATAACGTTATGTTTTTAATATTGATTATGATTAAGGCTCCTGATTTTTTTTTTAAAATTAAGTTCCTTATTAATAATCGTGATTCATTCCATTAACAAAAGACTGAACAATTTAAATGTGTTCATATTTGTTTAATAAAAATATGAAGATATTAATGTATTACATTAATAAAATATATAATAATTTAATTTTCTGACAGAAGATAAGGAGATAAAGATCGTGAGACCAACTTTGACAATTATGACGTCACCAAGTCCTATATTCAATTTTCAACTTCGGTCCATTCATTTTTTTTGACCTTTCTCATAATTTTTTTCCCCAACCCAACCTAATTATTAACCCTGATTCTAATAACTTACTTTCTAGTCGTTACTTCATCAAATAAATAAATCAAATTTATTATTATTTTTTATTTTTTATTTTTTAAAATATTAAGTTTATAAATAGCATTTTCACTTATAGATTTATCTAATTTTTACTAATGGGACTTTACTTCTAGCTAAATAATTAATTTTATATTTTTAACAATTATTTAAAAAATTACTAATTACATCATAAATGGAATGAGGCGGGAATGAAAATAAGAAGGTCACTTTATGCATTATTCCTTAAAATGATTTCGAAGAAAAAATAATTCTCGTTCGTGGACATATCTTGGTTGTTCTATGCATCCCATGTGATTATAAGATATGTTTGTCCCACTAGAGTAAGTCTCCTTAGAGTTGTGATTGAGAGAATATTTTTGTTTTCTTAATATAAGAGCAAATCCTACAAATTTAATATTCCACAATCACATTTTCTTATGTGTCACGCAAACCAAATTAAGTATATATATTCCATCTAATTACCTTTTTGCCCCTTATTTGGAATACTTCTAAAGTTTTAAAGCAATATTAAAATCATATTGCATATTTTGATTGTTATTGAACATTTTAATAAATATAGAAGAAGCCAAATTAAAAAAAAAAAAAAAAAAAAAAAAAAAAAAAAAAAAAAAAAA